CACTCTAAATGGTATGCAATTATATTCGTACCGCCTTACTTGTTGCGTGTCGTACAAAGGATTTAGAAAGCCAATGGCTTTGGCACATTTCATTTCAAGGTATCTAGAAATATACATATATATATATATATATATATGTATGTGTGTGTATATACATACGAATGCGAATGCTGGCGTGTATGAGTTAATGGTGTGCCTGCGAACTTATTGAATGATATATCAAAAGCGTTCTTCTGTTGTCTGGCGTTCATTATCCGGTTACTTTAATATTTAATAATTATCCATACAATGTGTCTACTTTGCCACTCATAAAGATAATTTCATCTGTTTTTTTGTTTTTTTTTTTTTTCTTTTCTCTGTAACACTCTGTAACTTGCAAGCATTAGCTAACGTAATGATGACAAGCGCATTTCAGATTTCCTTAGAAAAACAATTTCAAGAGCATAGAATTTCGGTGATCAGCAAAAAACAGCGCGTATAATTAAAAGGAATTCGTTTACTTTATTGTTATTGTAATCAATTGAATCAATTGGAAACAATGAAATGAGCAGCAATTTATTTTAATTGTTATAAATATTGTATAAACGTAAATGTAATGCCCATGCGAATAAAATAGTAGCGAAAACATTATATGCTAAGAAAATTAAGCAAAAAATTAAAGAGCGAAAGAGATGGAGATAACTCAAATTTATTGTCAACGGAATGATCTGTGGCTGTATTAAGAATGCAAGTTGTCAGGTTGCTCAACTGAAAACTGAAATCAATGATTGACTTTAATTTCAAACATCTAATAAAGGTAAACACGTTTCTTTTTTTTTTTTTTTTTTTTTTTCATAAAACAAAAAAAAGAAAAAGTAATTTAAAGCAAGCGTGCGATAAAGTGATTATTTGTGCATTCATGATCTTAAGCCGGTCCTGGTAGGTTAAGTCGAAATTTTACGAATACTTTTTTATTGTACTCTTGAGATTGTTAAATGAAATAGAAATCTAATCTAATTTATGAGTTAAATCTTTTTACGAGCACCTTCAACGCATTACGGATTCTTCAAACGTTTGAATGACTTTAGCTAATATAAGAGGTTTAAGAGGGAATGTAAGAAAATGAGCATCTGTATGCATTCATTGTCTCTCCACCCTCCATTCTCGTACGGGATCAAGCACTAAATTTTAAATCGATCTGTACCCTAATTTATAACTGTATAGGTATTTAAGAATGTTTAGTTGTCGATGGTGTGCACTTTCGTCTACCAGTTTACACTGCGAACATATGAGTCAATTTTCTACCTTAACTTTTACGATTGTCGGACTTTTAGCCATAAAATGGATGAATGAATTGACATGCGTCCAAGTCCAAGCATCATCTTATTCCAACTTGAAATATTTATAAAGAATTTTTAGTATAAATTTTTCTTTCTACAATTAAAGTAATGGTGTCTAACGAATATCGAACATAGTGAAGATAAAGAGATTTTTTCCTCTCTTCGTGCGAATGCCTGGTATTTATCGTCACTAGTGAATAAAGGATTTTTACTCGTAACTCGCTTTTCAATATTTACAAATTAAGTTCATCTTTAGTATACAGCACAGGCAACATGCGCTGACTATGCGCTGAAGTACGTCTTTCATTTTTTTGATTTCTTTTAACCGAATGCATGGATGGCTTGGAAGGAGCTTGCTACATCAGATAGAGGAAATGAAAGATAACCATCAATCAGGTAGAGACCTTTTTAATTCGATAATGAAGTTTTTCTCAATTTAACCCTGTTATTATAGCCTCTTGTTAATAAAAATTAAGGTATCATTACAAACATCATTATTTGTCACGCATGGGAAGCGTGCCTCCATCTTCTTAATAAGTAATTTAATATAATTATTGGCAGCTATCAAAAGTGTTTAGAATTTCTTCTCGAAATTAAAATCTTTTCACGTGTAAAACTCATTAAGATCGTTCGTACATATCAGAAACGTTCATAAAAAGTTTTGAAGAATTTTACAGATTTGTACATTTAAACATTCGAAAGCAATTAAAAAATTTATTTGTGATTAAATGCGGCAATGAACGTCAATAAATAGATAATAAATAATAGGCAGTTGAACGAAGCAGGGATGACCGTTCATTTTATGAAAGCATATTCTGCTGTTCTCATACCCTACACGCCTTATGGTAGAAGAGTATATTAACTTTGTGCGGATATGCAATACCCAGAAAGACTTGAGATA